CCTATTTTTGCTTTGGCACCACAGCGCCACTTACAGACCTGGCATACATTTTGCAGCGTTTTCATGCATTCGTGTGGACGATCACATTTATTATACATCTCCGTCTTTACGACAAACGTTCTGGAAAATATTAGCGTTTCGTGTTCGTTTTGACTTCGTGTGGACGGGGCCTAAGTTAATGGCGGCATAAATGGCTCTTTCATTCTAATGGAGTACTGGAGCACTTTTGCTCACCTTGAAATTTGCCTGGCCAGTGAAACAATTTTTAAGGCCAGCGAAAGCACCAGTTAAATCATGGCTGGCGAATTTAAATGGGGGGATTTTCGAGAGTCTCCACTATGTTATCTAGCTGGTGGTTAGTTTCACATCAGCATGGCGGTTGGGGACTTTACAGATCGACTTACAGTTCTTTCTTTACTTTTTGAAGTCGAAAAAGTGATTGATCTGTCAGTGTTGCTGCTTACTCAGTCATGTGATTGATTTAGTCTGCAGCAACCTTAAAAGGAACAGGAAGAGTACCCGCCATTTTGTCACCCACTACAGCTGTTGGGTTGTGATTTCACATTTATATACATGTTTAGCAAGAATACTAACTGTGCACATAAGATGTTACCCTTATATTTTTGCTGATGTTTGCTATTTGATTAGCGTGACAATTGTCAGAGCAGCTATATGGCTAGTTGAGCTAATTTCTGAGATTTGCTCATATACTGTTTGAATAGTAATTCAGGTATTTCTTGCACTTATTTAAAGCTTCAGAAAATCCTCCCTAAACTTCATGAAAACATATTGACTGTGTCTTGGATTTTTTATTTTTTTTGGATTGTTTAACTTAATAGAAATGAATACCACCACCTCCTCTGCTTTCAGTGGTACTTCTGCCGATCCATGACCCGGTTCCTCCTGCATTGAGGGACCGAACACCCTGACAAAAGAGGTAGGGTGAGATGGCATTCAGGAGCTCAGAAAGGAGCAATGGGAAATCTGTGCTAGAATATCTGCAGAGAGCACACCAGAAACGGAACGAGGTGGCCAGCTGTGCCCCCTTCTGGATCTATAGAACAACAGCAGGAGCTTGAAGAAGGACAATGGTAGAATGGAGAAGCCTGCAAGGCAAGCCAAGGACTGAAGGTGGGAAAGAGGTTGCGGCTGGCCAAGATAAGGACAGCTGTGCATCGGAGAAGCCCACCAGGGAGAGAGAACAGGGATAGACAGCAACCGGCCATGGCATGCATATAGAGGATAAGTGCAAAGGATCAAGGGAGGACAGTGGTAATAACCCTTCCAGGGCAAAAATAAAACAGCTTTTTTTAAAAGGGAGAGGCTCTGAGTAGAGCTGCTTCTCCAGAGAGGTCAGCAGAGATGGCTTTGACATCAATTCTGGATGCCCCCTGGACACCTTCTTTTCGGAGGTGTTACCGGGAGGAGGCCCAGGGGACAGCCTAGGAAAAAATGGAAAGACTATGTTCCTTGGTTGACCTGGGAATACATGTCTCCCAGCAGAGCTGGAGGTGCTGTCTGGGGAGGGGAAAGTCTTGGAGTCTCTCCTGAGATTGCTGCAGCCACAAACTGGTCCCGGCGTATATATTGTAAACTTTAATATAGATAGACCCGCTGCCCAAGCTTGTTTCATTGGAAAATACTAAATAAACAAAGTGGATAACAAACATTTTAAAGATTTTACTATCCAAACAAAACAATGTTGTCTGCCAGATTTTGCCAAAATTCTGACTAGTGTGTATTAATGGAATATTTAACAGAAGACATATTGAAATGTAATTTTTTGTGGACCTTGCCAGATGGCTTATCTTTTCCAATCAGTAAAATCACTATGTAGATGGAGATCTAAGAAGTAATCTAAGAAAAGTGCATTTCCTATGCATGTGGTTCACTGAATTGTGAATACGAGTAAGAGGGCCACTTAAAGCAGATAACAGGAAGGGTAAAAATTGAGAGCAGCTTTCAAACTATCATGGAACAAGCTCAATTTAGATATGCTTGTCATCTTTTTATCAACTTTGATCTTAAAGCAAGGAAAAAGCTACATTTTCCAGAGAAGAAACAATAACTTATTTAAAATGTATTAGCGTGCCTGTGGTGTGCTGGTAGAGTCATTTACTATCTTCAAACAAAACCAGATGACTTTTATAACCCTTTTCAGCCTGGTAGCCTCAAAATCTGTATGAACGTCAATGTTGCAGAGCTTAATTTTTTCCTTTTACATTAAATATGTTGTATTTTCACAAAATAAATTTGTCCTAACTACTGGTATAATAAAAAAAAAATAACTATGTAATGGTAGATCTTTTAGTTTCTTTTTAAAGCCATAGGATTGTTTGGAAATTGGTTGTTTCATGGTAAGAGCTTATGATCATTATATGATTTAAATAAAATAAGTCTCCCATAGTTCCGTTGAGTTCAGAGCTGAAAGTAAAGGAATGTTGTGGTATAATTTGTTTTGGACTAATGCCCACGGTCTCTTATTTTGTTCATTGCAAACTTAGTTTCATGTACAGGATAAAAGTAAAACTACATTAGACTATTGTCTCTTATATCTTTACTCCCAAATCAGATGAGTGATTGCAAGAGGATCTTCCTATCAAAAGAAAATGGATAGAAAGTCAGTGTAAGTCCCTTTAAGGCACATCCAGTGCAAATTGAGAAACCCTTTTGGTATTGGCAAAGTTAGGAACAAAAACTGCAAATCAGTATGATGGTGTTGCTTCTGCAGCTGAAAAGAAAATCACAAATTTAAAAGTACATTTAATGCACTCAGCTTATCATGCCTCTTACATACACTTCACTGCAGTCAGAAGTAAGAAAAGTTTAAAAAAAGTCAAACATGAAGAATTTATAGGAAAGAAGTTACAAGAAACCAACAAATATCATTAAAGCTGGTTGCCCGGCCTCTTGAAATGTTGGTAAACTAAGAAAGAATTAACATCATACAAATATATAACATTAACTATTTAAGTAAATGAAATAATGATAGTAATAAAAAACAATCCAAACTGATCATCATTAAACACTAGAATAATATTCAGTAATATTATTAACATCATCAATACAATTATTGTTAGTTTACCCTGTTACTTCTGCAGAAGTGTAGATTTCTCATTCATGATTGTAAAATCCGTTGCTTAACAACATGTTTGTTTTGGCGTGAACAAACAGGAAGGAGGGAAAGACCATAGGCATGTGAGGACAGCAGCGACTGGAGAATTGAGCTCACCTTTTCCTATTCCCTCTAACCCCGCCTTCAGATAGCTCAAACGTTGGAGCAGCACCAGAATCCTTTTGTCTCATTAAAAACTTGTTCACTTTAAGCTTTGCCAAACTTTGTGTCAGCAGCCTTTGTGTTTTGTTCAAAACCTGTCCTGTTTGTAGACTGAGACCACACATACTGTGTACCCTTCATTCTAGTCATATAGAGAAGTCATAAGCCTAGGTCTTCTTCCCCTCATTTCTTTACCCGCTTCATCTTCTCTATGTCTCCCTTCCTCTGACTTCAGTCTTAGACATCTGACTCAATGCTCGAGAGCTTTTCATAGACATGTCCGTTGGCACCATTGAAGGGTCTCTGTCCCTGTCCCAGACCTAACGTGTCCCTGCCTCCGGGCAGCAGTTTGTTGGCCCCGTGGTGGTTCCCCATGGGCCCTCCCACCCCACCCAGGCACAGCTCTTTGGGGTATCTTGGGGCCACATTGGACATCACCCCAGCTGTGGCAGATGCGGGCAAATAGGAAGTTGCTCCCATGGAGCTGCGGAATTCCCCTCCTCCTCGGCTGTTGTTGAGAAGTTGCTGCTGTTGCTGCGGCGTCTGTGGCTTTTTGACGTAGTACGGTTTGGCACCGTGTAATAGACACTGGTCGTCACCGAAGGTTGGGATGAAGGGGTTCTGGTTCACCTTATCTGGGTAGAGAGATTTAGACAAGGAGTAAGTCCCGGCCCCTCTGTTACCACCACCACCGCCCCCTCCTCCCATCACATTTCTGTCTCTTTCCCTAAGGTCTCTCTCCCCCACTGAACGCCGATGCAACCCACCCTCTCCTCCACGGTAAAGACTGAAGGAGGACCCTCCTGCTACTCTATCCCCACCTATTCCTCCAAACATTGGAGACTCTCTTTCACCTGAATATCTCTCAAACATGTGCGCATAGGGACTGGGACCCTCCATGTAACGGTCTTTATCTTTCAAGCTCACACTTCGGGGCTGGGCAAAGGGCCCGCCAACACCACCACCGACCCCACCCATGCGACCTGCTCCCTCTCTCTGTAGATCTACAAAGGTATCATAGGAGTGCTGCCTCCGCAACACCTTCCCACCTGGTCCTAGCTTCCTGCGCTGAGTCTGACTGGGTCCTATGCTGCTCTTCATACCGCTGAATATCATGTTGTTATCTTCACTGATGTTATAAAGGTTGCTTGGCTGTATCTTGCAGGAGTCACAGCGTTTGCAAAGCGTAGCAGAGCTGGGGCGACTGCCACTCCCCCCAGCCCCACTAGCTTGGCATGTGCTGCCTCCTCCACTGTGATGACAAACACTGTGGCAGTTACGACACTCCCAGTCACCCCCTGCAATGCCACCACCTCCAAGCCCAGAAGCTCCTTGCTCCCAGCAAGTGTGAGCCTGCTGCCCAGCTGACACTCCACCAAGCCCACCTTTGCCATCTGTTTTTTTCCCTTTACCTTTGAGAAAGTCTTCCACAGGCACTAAACTTTTACAGATACCACCACCACTACCACCGCCCGCACCGCTTCCTCCACTTCCACCCTCTTGCTCCCACTTGGCCTTGCCCTCCTTGGAGCGAAACTGGTCCGCATAGAAATCCCTCAAGTTGTCTTTGTCTTTGCGGAATAAGTAAGGTGAAGAATTACCCGTTCCTCCTCCCCTCTTCCGCTCCACGGGAGGTGAGACCGGGCGGTGTGCCAGAGGCCCATGAGGGAAGTGGTGGTGGACGGTGTGGTGGTGGGGTCTCTTCCTGAAGGCATTCAGCTCTATCTCGTCCTGCTCCCGTCTGACCTTTGCAGAGGCTGGCCTCTTTTTCAGGCTGTCCCTGTACTGCTTACGCCTCTTGGTGCTTCCCTCCAGGTTTCCATAGGTAACAGTGTGGGTGGAGATATCCGAGGCGTCGGAGCGAATGTTCCCGTCGTCACCCCCTGAGCCTCCCCCACCCCCACCACAGTACCTGTCATGTCCCCCGATGAGCCCTGTGCTGGATGCTCCTCCTTTGAAAGAAAACCTGCCGTAAACATTGCTTCCTTTGAACCCACCCTGATTGGCATCCGCAGCGGCGTGGCCTGCAATCAGGTCAAATTTACTTGTATTCCTGTGAGTCATGGAGGGACGGGGCTGTGTGGTAAAAATGGGTGCTACACCTCCCCCCAAACTGTCACCATCGAACATGCCCCCTTCCAATGAGCTAGCGCTGCCTAAGCTACGCGGCCTATTGGGTGGGGGGCCGGACATACCCAGAGCCGAGGCCGGGTGGTGGTGCCGGTAATGGTCCTGGTACAGGTTGCTGTCCTTCAGGGGCAAGTTGCCAAAAGTCCTCTCCACCTCGCTGATGTAGTCACTGAACATGGGGTCCTCTGGAGGGTAAGGTGTAGCAGACTTACAGTCAGATGGGTGACCCACCAGGCTGTGCCGGTGCTTCTGGATATCATAGATGGCCGCTTCACGACTGCTATGGCTATACTCTAGAGCTGCATGTGGAGAGCCATTGACACCTGGGACTGCAGTCATGTCTTTAGCAGTTCGGAGTAACCGTAGGATGTTGGAGTGGGTGTTGTTCATGTTCTTCTTTATGGTGGAAGAGGGTGAGTCTATGGTTGACTTGTTTTCCTCAATTTGTACCCCATGGATGCAGCTGTAGATACCCTGGAGAGTGAAAATAGAAAAATAAGGTAGAGAAAAAATGGGTAAGATAGACCATAGGAGGGAAAGGAAAACTGAGACAAGGAATGAAAGTAAAAGGTAAAATACATGGGAAAAGAAGGACCCATAAAGGTTTGTCAGAGGGGGAGATAGAGAAAGAAAACGACAAATGCCAGCGACGAAAATTAAGAGTTAGAGGAAAACAGAAACAAGAAGGGATGTATTGCCATGCTTTGTGTTTACTCTTTATTTAACAGTAATAGGATACACATTCATTAATGGATTATCTGTAGGAAAGAGTACGGTCCGTATAAGCTTTACTCCAAAGCTCAGGACCAGATAACAGACTAGAAATGGGCAGAGCAGATCAGGGTCTTGATTTATACCACATGAGAAGCACTAAGCCTGTGATTTTGACCACAAATCAATAGGATTAATCAATGCAATTTAAATTTCACTTACACCATTGCAGCTGCCTGTGTAAACAAGAGCTTTACATGTTTCATCCACTAAACAGTAAAATATATTATATATGAAAGAGGAAGACAATTACAGCAACCTGCTTCAGTAGGTCGGACAACATTATGACCACTAAATAAATAAAAAAATAAATAAAATAAAAAATATATATAATTTTTTTTTTTTTTTTGTCTATCAACTTCAATGTTGATAGACAATATCTATCAACATTGAAGTTAATCCTTTAGAAGCTGGAAAAATGATCACATTTAAGTGTTTTTTTTTTCATGGTCCACATAATATAGCTTAGAGTCTGCAGTGGTCCTGCAGTGGCAGACGGGAGTCTGCAAGGAAGGAAATGGGTAAACTGCCAGAGTAATGGAGGACCTAGGCTCAGTGATGCACAGGAAAAGGGAAGGCTGGTCCGTTTTGTTCCATCTGACATATTTATTGTTTTAGTTGTATTATTTTAATAGAAAGGTGTCAGAATACTCAGTGTTTCAGTTTACTGTGTTATTAGCATCTGTGGGAACAAGTCCATTTCATGAGGCTCTTTAAGAGGCATCTCAAATTCAAGTCCACAAAGGGTGGTATACTTGGTTCAACCAATAAAGCAAACCGATTATAATGTTCTACAGAGTCCTGCCAACTACTCATACTAATATCAACTGAAATATGTTATTGTTCCAAAAGAAGAGACGACAAAGTTTGGTTGCCTTTTTAGACTCCTGTTGAGTGTTGGTGCATTTGTAGGCAAAGGTCCCTTAGTGGTTATAATTGCCTGATGAAAGACGATCTTTTCTGATTCAAGATACCTAAGAGATTTACCGACTCAAGGCTTTTTTTCTGGGTAAATTGAAATTATTTTTGGGGGATTATGCTATTTTTACAGAAAGTGATGCCACTTGTCATAGTGCAAGTTAGTTTATGCATATCACCACCAGAGTTGTGTTTGTGCTGTAATAACAACTATCAAGTTATTTGATAGTTTCTTCTTTCCATACTCCTACCACTTTACACACAATCCTTGTGAGGTTCTAAGTTCAAGCCCCATTCCCACAGACTGCCACTCTGGGTCTCTGAGCAAGGCCGTTAACCCCACACTGCTCCGTGGGCTCCAGTAGGGGCTGATCAATAGAGGGCACAAGTGGCACACCCCACCCACCCAATGACCCTGATTAAGACATTAAAAAAGTACATCTAGTTTAATTTTTATTAAAATGTAAAATATTTTTGAGATATATTGATATTTATTTATTGGATGTACAAGATAAATATTTAATCTTTAAAGACAAGTAAAGCGTTATTTAATTTTTGGTCAGATTGGTGAAGTACGTATTTCTGTCCTAGGGCACAAAAATATTTGCCCATTGACTCTAGTTAAAAGCTGTACATGTGCAGTAGCTCCTCAGCAATACAAAGGCATAGGAGAGCTCAGGGCACAGCTCTGGTGCGCCCCGAGCTGACAGAAAGTATATTTGCTCACGACCTCCCGCCATAGTGCAGACGTTTTGCTGGTGATTGGCAGGTCCAGTCACAGGAGTTGGAGACGCAATAAAGAGAGAGAGATATGACACAAGAAACGTTCCTTTTCCAGGACCTGATTTAACTACAAGGCTTGGCTAACTGCATGGACAAGGCTAATGCTTTATTCTGCTTTTCTTGCCTCCATTTTCAAACATCAGGATCTGACCCAACACGGATAAAGACAGGTATAACTGATTTAAAGCACTTTTTAGAAAAGGCAAAGAAGCATGAATAATCTTGAATTTACATGGAAAATAATATAATATAGTGTACTTTTTCTAGATGTTTGTTAATCTGCATAGTTGCTCTTAAATAAATGCAGTCACAGAAAAAAAATAGTTTTTGTATATTAAAAAATATAAAGCTAACTAAAAGCTTCTCCATTATCAAACGTATACATTATTTTTTTAGGTTTGCGACACACTATTGGACCATGCAAAACACAGATTTGTCTTCACAAAGCATTTATGTACAAAAATTAAACCTGTACATGAAATTATGTTTTGTTTTTATAAAGTGTTTCTTGTTGTTGGCATTCATATGAATAACTTAGTATAATTTGATTGGTTTTTGGTATACGTCTATTTTTAATTTATAGACCCCCTGGAAAAAACTCCACCAGCCGCCACTGCTGGGCGCCCCACAATGGAAGCCCACTGCTCCCCATGGGTATGGGTTAAATGCATAGGTAAATTTCTGTGAGATCAATAAATGTTAGATCAATAAAGTATAAAAAAAAAGAAAAAAACTTCTTGTAGACTAGGGCAAGAAGTGCCCAACGGTTCCATCGGGTATGATTTGAAAGTGTCTTTACTGTGCCACAGCATCTCTTAAGAAGTAGCTTATTATATCTTTTTTGTAAGTAATCAAACTGAGAAAAATAGACAGGCATGTCCTCAGGAAAATCCATTTAAAGTCTCTGATTAAAAAACATGAAGGGGCAAGTGTAATGCTTTGCAAGTTGTGTACAATTACTGCAATAGTAAATGTATTTACCATGTTTGATTTGGATGGATACCCACTATGGCTATAAATTTGTGCGGAGTTCCTTAAGGCAGATTAAAAGGGTGAATGGAAAAACAGAGGAGTTTAATGTCAGAGGAATAGAAAGACGACCTTAGCAGGAATCAACATACAAGCTCACTCCCCTGTTTTGCCAGTATGCTGTTCATTGCTAGCATGGCAACATGGTTTGCTGCATCCATCAATCTCATAATTCTAACTCTGATCATCAGATGTCAACCAAGTCTTTGTCTGGTCATTTACACATTTGCACTTACTAATCAGTGGAAAAGGAAGAGATAGTTCAGACCAAGTCTTTGCACAATTTGAGGTCCTCTTCTCTGTCCTCACTAAATGCCTCCATCTAAATGCCAAGTATATGTTTCCCTCTGCAATAGGCTTTTCTCATCCGTTCACCTACCAGCTGTTTCGGACACTCTGCATATCCCTGACGAGTCTCTAACAGGATACCAACTGGTAAATCCCCAGCAACAGTACTGGAGTTGCTCAGGAAGGTAAATGGAAGGGTTCAAGTTTATAAAGCCCCCAGAAAAACAAAGAAAACAGAACAAAAAAAAAGCATGAAAAAGAGATACTCAAAAAATAACTTTTTAAATGTTTGATCTATGAAAAATGTCACAAAACCACACCATTAACTTTAAACAAACAGCAGAAGTCAACTGATTTAACACATGGCGCTGACTCAAACTCTGCTGTTTGTTGCTGCACTCTGTAAATAACTTTTTCAATACAGATGTAATTGAGCTTCAGGACAACATAAGTGGGTCATACTGTTATGAGTGATCAACGCAAATTGCCATTGCCAAAAAAAGTATGTAGCTGAATGAATTGTAAAATGGTTCTTTTGGTGCTGGGAAAAAAAAGCCTTTTGGTTGTAGGGTCAAGCAAGCATATTTAAATACAGGCTGGGAGAATCTGGTCAAGGCGACAGAACTGAAAGGTTGACGACTCACTGTCCACCAGCGAGTGTGCGGGCCAACGTTCCTCGAAGGCGTCAACTTGTCAAAAACTGTTTTTGTCTGTCTCTTAGTCACTTTCCAAGTCACTGAGCTGCATTCATAATTGTTAACCATCAAGCTTCTTCTTTCTCATGGCTCAGTTCTCCCTTTGTGTTTTTTTTTATTATCTAGGTTTCAGGGTGCATTGATGAGCGACAGCTGCTCCAATGGGGCTGTCTGTCTTTATCTCTCTTCATCTACTGCTTCTCCGGCTGAAAGGTAATGGAACCAAGGTTGTGAGCACACTGCCATGTTGGTACTTCTCACCTCATCCATTTTTCTGTCACTTGCTTGGATGTTTATCTCTTCTCCCATTACCTGACCTCTTTTACTCTCTCGGTGTCATTATCTTCACACGTACTAAAACAAATGGAATTTGAACCACTATGGATTGCAGCTGCAGTCTTAAGCTAATTCATTCCAAAACAATAGTTTCAATAGCTGCTACTTCTGAAAGGTGTCTTTGATTGAGAGGCATGCAGTTCAATGAGCAAAATCCGTTTTTCAGGTCTATTAAAAGTAATTGCTGTTTAAGGTACTTCACCTCAGCGATGTGAATGTAAAATACATGGCATTACAATAAGACCTTAATTCTTAAAAAAAAATAAACACTGGTGGCCTTTGTTCCAGTAACAAGTATAGTACAATTTGCACAAAGTAATTATCTGCTTTCTGAAAGGTAACATTATGCAAATTCAGCATAATACAATTGTCTTGTTATATAAACCAAATGTGTTTGGTATGAAGTTTGCAATACCATAAAAGTTTTTCTTTGCTATAGCTTCTTTTCATTTTTGCTAACTATTCCACAAATCACTCCTTGTAAAAACAGGACATGAAATTCCTATTTGGCATCTTAAGGCTTTTACAGAGCCGGGTGTAATATACACTCACCGGCCACTTTATAAGGTACACCTGTCCAACTGCTCGTTAACACTTAATTTCTAAGCAGCCAATCACATGGCGGAAACTCAGTGCATTTAGGCATGTAGACATGGTCAAGACAATCTCCTGCAGTTCAAACCGAGCATCAGTATGGGGAAGAAATGTGATTTG